TTTGCCCAGCAACTGCCAGGTTCTCAATTTCATGCTGTTGCTTTTGGTCAATCTGTGAACTGCAACAGAGTCACTGAAAGTGTCCATAGACTCTGTTCACCTTTGGGAGGCCTTCTTTGCAACCGTAAGTGCTGACACTTAATTTTGTTTTAAAATGAAAGCTTAGATTCTGCAGAAATTGGGGTGGTCCCCGTCATTTGCCAGGGCAAGCTTCTCAAACAGAGAGAGTGAGGTTTTTCAAGTCCAGATTAAGATCACCCAGTTTGCTTTACTGTTTATCTGATTAAAACATGTTGTGTAGAAAATATCAAACTATAGAAGTTCTTGAAATATTAGTAAACATAGATACTCCTTTTGTGTTAACTGGACCACCCATTAAGTCAGGGGTGGGCAAACTACGGCCGTTTTAACACTGCCCTTGAGCTCCCACTGGGGAGCAGGGTCTGGGGATTGCCCCGCTCCGGCACTCCAGCCGAGGAGCAGGGTTGGGGGCCACACCATGTGGTTGCCGGCAGCCGCAGCATGGCCCCCCCCCCCCCCCCCCCGGCGCTCCAGCCAGGGAGCAGGGTTAGGGTCTGCTCCATGCGGCTCCCTGAAACCACAGCATGGCCCCCCTCTGGCGCTCCAATGGGAGCAGCAGGGGTGGTGCCTGCAGACGGGGCAGTGTGCAGAGCCGTCTGGCTGCGCCTCTGCGTAGGAGCTGTAGAAGGGACATGCCGCTGCTTCCAGGAGCCGCTTGAGGTAAGCGCTGCCTGGAGCCTGCACCTCTGAGTCTCTCCCCACGCCCCAACCCCCAGCCCTGATCCCACTCCCACCCTCTGATCTTGATCCCAGCCCTGAGCACCCTCCTGCACCCCAAACCCCTCATCCCCAGCCCCACCCCAGAGCCCATAACCCCAGCTGGAGCCTGCACCCCAACCCCCTGCCCCAGCCCTGATCTCCCTCCTCCCCTCTAAATCACTCGATCTTAGCCCAGAGCACCCTCCTACACCACAAACTCCTCATCCCCAGCCCTACCCCAGAGCCCACACCCCAGCCGGAGCCCTCGCCCCCCCCGCACCCCACTTCCCCAGCTCAGAGCCCCCTCCCACGTTCTGAAGTCCTCATTTCTGGCCCCACCCCAGAGCCCGCACCCCTAACTAGAGCCCTTACCCCCCCCCGTACCCCAATGCCAATTTTCTGACAATTCATGGCCTGCCATACAATTTCTATTCCCAGGTGTGGCCCTTGGGCTAAAAAGTTTGCCCACCCCTGCACTAAGTTATACAGTAGAGCTGTTTGGGAATTTTTTGGAAACCATTTTTTGTCAGGAAAATGCTTATTCATCAAAACAATTTGTAGGAATGCGCTGATTTCAACAAATTTCTTCACTTGAAATTTTCTAATAAATTCTAGTTTGCTCATTCAAAATGACAGTAGAAGAACCATTTTTAAAAAAGCCAAAATCAAACTGAAATATTTTGAAATTATCTGTATTTCTGTTGACCCAAACAGCCTTTTTTTTTCCTCCAAGTTTTTGGTTTGAAAATTTTTTGAGATTTCTACTTTTCTCATCCCAGCTAGTGTTGGGAAAAATTTTCAAAATCTCAAATTTTCATGAGATGGGTAAAGAGATGACTGCCCAGCTCTATTATACCAACTTTGCAAAAGACACAGAATTTTATAATTTATTTTGCCTTGTTATAGTCTGCATATATGCAAAAAAGAGATTGAGAACTACCTCCACGTGAAGTCTGGATATTCTTTTCTCATATATTCACACAGCTCTAATGGACTTGAGTGGGAGTTTCTGTGGTGTATCCAAAGGCAGAAATGACCCCTGTACCTTGCAAGTGTAACACTCCTAAGTTACAATATGTATGTTAGTGGTAAACGTGGACTGTTTTTTGGTGTAAGAACTAGAAAATGTCAGGGCTATATTTTCCTATGTCTTGTCCCTGTAAAGTTTAGAACTGTACTGAAGAGGTCAAAGAGGGACAGTGCTGATGAGCAGAGTGTAGGTTGTACTCCTGGAAGACACTCAAGCATTGAGGCTTATGCAAGCTCTGTGTGTGTCTTATGGATTCTGACAAAAGTTTTAATAAAATGCGCCAGCTTTAACATCTCTCTGGTCTGGGAGTGTAACTCAGGCAAACCTCTTCGGTTTAATGGTTGTATGTTAAAACATATTTGTTACAGTAAAAATTAGGATACAGTGTTGTCTTGTCTGTAGCTCAGGCAGCCCTGGAAGCACTTAATATAAACTAGTGTCTGGGTTAAAGATCTTCTGCTTCCCCGGGCCTTGCTGAATGGTTTATTCATCTGGAAAATACAGTGAACAATGCAACTGGAAAGACTCTGTCAAGTTTATGATCTCATAGACCACAGAGAACCAGCTGCTGATTTGAAAGATTTGTGTAACACAAGAGCTATTGTGTATGAAAACAGTGAACGTTGTTACCCCGATCTTCGTTTAGTCCCTTCATTATTAACTATAAGGGGAAACTTGTGCACCATTACTTTGCCTGAGGATAGTCTATTTTGTGTGTGTGTGTGTGTGTGTGTGTGTGTGTTTACTTCCTGTAGTTAATTACATTTTCTAATAGGCAAGTCAGGTCGAAGGGTAGAAGAGGGATTTGTTTTGTTTGTTTTTTACCTTGGAGCCTTCTTTCTGATTCACATTTTATTGGCAAGCCTGCAAAGCTTATTGGGGATATAAAGTTCCTTCTCTTTTCTTACATAATTGTGTAATGATTTTTTTCTAACGATTTCTGTAGGAAGAAGATACAAACTAGCTTCTTCTCTGTTTCTGCATTGAGATTTAGTAGGGTTACCATATTTCCACAATCAAAAAAGAGGACAGTGGGGGGGAGCCCTGCCCCCAGCCCCAACTTCCCCCCTCAGAACCCCCAACCCCCCCTGCTTCTTGTCCCCTGACTGCCCCCTCCTGAGAACCCCCACCCTAACTGCCCCCCTAGGACCCTACCTGTCCCCTGACTGCCCCCATGGGTGGCAGGTTTGTAAAAATTTTGATGGTGCCCAGAACCTGCCCCCCCACACGTGCCTAAGGCTCTGGGAGAGGGGTTGGGTGCGGGGAGGAGGTCTGGGGTGCAGGTCCTGGGCTAGGGATTGGGGTGCAGGGTGCAGGCTCTGCGATAGAGTTTGGGTGCTGGGTGCAGGCTCTGGGCTGGGGCAGCGGGTGGGTGTGCAGGAGGGGGTGAGAGGTGCAGGCTCTGGGATGGAGTTTGGGGGTGGGAGGCGGTGCAAAGGGAGGGGGTTCAGGCTTTGGGAGGGAGTTTGAGGGCAGGAGGGGGTGTGTGGGAAGGGGGAGGAGGTTTGGGACAAAGTTTGGGGATAGGAGAGGGTGCAGGGGTGAGGGCTGTGGACCTGAGGATGAGGGGTTCATGATGCAGGACGGGGCTCATGGATGGAGCAGAGGATTAGGGTGCAGGGGGATGAGGGTTGGGGCTGGGGATGGGGGGTTCATGATGCAGGAGGGGGCTCAGGGCTGTGGCAGAGGATTAGGGTGCAGGGGGATGAGGGCTGGGGCTGGGGATGAGGGGTCTGGGGCGTTGGAGAGGCTCAGGGCTAGGGTGGAAGGGCAGGGTAAGGGCAGCCTGCCTTGCCATTAGTGGATGGGGGGCACTAGGACCCTGGGGCAGCAGACAGCAGTTGCTGCCTGGAGCAGGGTAGGAATGTGCACAAGCAGGCAGGGAAGAGGGGTGCGCTGCTTTCTTTCGGCCAGGGACGGGGGGGAGGACCCGCGGGGGGAAGATGCATGGAGGGGGGGTGGCAGGTGGAGGCCGGGGCCCGCTCCAGGCAGGGCTGGGGGGGAGACCCAGCTCAAAATATTGCTGGAGCCAGGCCCCTGGCCCTGGATATTGCTGGAGCTCGGGCACCACAAAAGAATATAACCTGCCACCGCCCCCCACCCCATTCACACCCCCACCCCCGACATGCCTATCCAACCCTCCCCCTGCTCCCTGACTGCCCCCCGGGACTCCCCTTACTATGCCCATGCCGGTCAGATGCTGGCTCCACGTGTAGGCAAAACACGCTGCAGGCAGCAGGGGGGGGAGCAGGGGAGGGGCTCTAGCTGCTGGAGGCCAATGGAGTGGCTCAATCAGGCCCAGCCGCCCAATCACCACGCTGCACTCTGCATGGGAGAGAGGGAGGGGAGGGGGAAAAATCCCGGACCTTTTAACCTTGTTACCAATTCCTCCCGGACGGCTATTTAAAGACACAAAAGTCGGACATGTCCGGGGAAATACGGACAGATGGTAACTCTAGATTTAGTAGAGATGTTACACAGGACATAAAATGCATTTATTCGTAATACACGATAACGTGACTAACACCAAGGTAATGTTGGTGTACTTACACTAAAGATGCAGTGACCAGTTTTATTTGGCTATTAATATGCACTTTAAAAAAGTGCTCTCATTTAGCATATACTCATGCTCACATAAGTGGAATCCCACAAACCCATAAATAAGATTGCTATAAGACTAAATGTTCAACTCATGTAATTTGCATTATAAAAATGATTAGATATTTTATTTTTATGGCTCAGTGCTGCAGTTGGTGTTCTCGAAATGCATATTACCTGTTTAAAAAAAAAAAAATAATAATTGTCTTTCAGCAGTAGCGAGAATTGTTTCCTCAAAACTTGACTGTAGCAATATTGGAAAGCAACGTTTTTATTGGTATTATTAATTTGACGAGATCTGTACAGGGAACATTACCATACTGCTCTCCACAAAACTTGTACAGTGATTAACTAGCAGTTTATTGTCCATGAATTTAATGCTTTCCAAAAAGAGTAAACTTTAAAAATTCTACTACTTAGCACCTATATAATGCTTTACATATTCAAAACTCTATACAAACATTACTAAAACTAATAAAAGGGCTTGTCAGTTACTAGTTCCTTTTGTTGGTATATGGTCTGATTGATGTAAGCATTAAACTGAAACTCCAAAGCTGAGGGGTTAAATATGACTCTTGGATTTTTCATACAGGTTGGAAAAGAAACAGTGCAGACAACCGAAGACCAGATTTTGAAAAGGGACATGCCACCAGCCTTTATCAAGTAAGTTTATCAACATATTCAACATGTCTGCCATAGGTACAGGAACCTACATCTAGAACAGGGGTCGGCAGCCTTTCAGAAGTGGCGTGCCGAGTCTTCATTTATTAACTCTGATGTAAGGGTTCACGTGCCAGTAATACATTTTAACATTTTTAGAATGTCTCTTTCTAGAAGTCTATAATATATAACTAAACTATTGTTGTATGTAAAGTAAATAAGGTTTTTAAAATGTTTAAGAAGCTTCATTTAAAATTTAAATTAAAATGCAGAGCCCCCCGGACCGGTGGGCAGGACCTGGGCGTGTGAGTGCCACTGAAAATCAGCTCGCGTACCACCTTTGGCACACATGCCCTAGGTTGCCTACCCCTGATCTAGAAGTAAATGTTTCTTTACAGTGGGGGACGGGGGGGCTTTATTTTTAATGGCCTTTATTTTAATATGCCTTTTACTTCCCTGGTCTCATTTACTTGCTTGGGCTATGTTTACACTACCGTGGTAAGTCAACCTACGTTACGCAACTCCAGCTACGTGAATAAGGTAGCTGGATTCGACATACCTTAGATCAAGTTACTGCGGGATCTACACTCTCCCGTCGACTTACCTTACTCTTCTCGTCCGGGGTAGAGTACAGGGGTCGACTGGAGAGCAATCTGCTGTCAATTTGGTGGGTCTTCACTAGACCCGCTAAATCAACCACCGGTGGATCAATCTCACAGCATAGAATAGATCCCGGCTGTACTGTTGGCCTGCCCTTAGGCAGAAAGATTGTAGGCTTTTGCTAACAGGAGTAGCCAGATGCCAAATCTCTGCCAGAGGTAGCTACTTTGCCAGCCTTTGCTTGTATGGGTAGCTTCCCCCTTTCCCTCCCGCCTCTCCCCACCCCATGGTACCTTTCTTTCCCTCTGGAGGGACACTGATGAAGGATGGGTACACGGTATTTCTCCATGCATCCCGTATTAAGCTGTGCTAAAGGGCTTTTTCTAAAATTTAGTGCTGTTCTCCCCATAAGTGTTTTTCCATTCTTTTGGCTGGAGGAGTATGTCAGTGACTGTATAGCCAGTTGCTGCATAACATGACTTGAAAATATTTTTAAGACACCTAAAAACTAACTGACTGGCACTTCTAATTAAGTTCATGGCTCAGTACTGAAGACAAATGATTTTCTCCTCTGTGGCCTTGAGTCTTAAAAATGAAACATCACTTTTTAGCGGTCATTAAACTGCCACACCTGTCATGTCAAATGACAAACTCTCATTGAAAAGACTTCCCTTACCCAGCCACCCCCTGTGAATTCAGTGTTTTCTTTATTAGCAATTTCTGCTGGCACATGCTAAGTCACTGAATATCCTAATGTTTTCTTGAGAGAGAGTGAGAAAGACAAGATGCTCAAGAACCGGAAACTACTGAACCAAATACTAAAATACTAAACAAATGAGTTCTGTGGGGGGGGGGGGGGGGGGAGGAGGGGGAGAAACAGAATGGTTCTCAAAGAGAAACATTTTTGAATAATTTTCTAAGATAGTCTTTGTGAAGATTTACATGCATGGCAGGGCTATGTTTATTCTTTTGGATGCTTACATTTTTTATATTGCTGCTCCTTTAGAGTTATGCAAAATGGTTTATTTTGTTGCCTTTTGCTGTCCAAGATGTATACATAATAAAGTGAAGCCATGGTTTAGTTGATACTCTTTATTTAGGAGGAGGATGGGAGAAGCAGATGGAAGAAATTAATAACTTTACTGGAATTTAGTGAGCCAGCACTGCTTTGTGGAAACTTTTAAGTATCAGTCATTAAGGGCATGTCTACACTACGAGAGTAGTTCGATTTTACTTAAATCGAATATGTGGAATCGATATTACAAAGTCGAACGTGTGTATCCACACTAAGGACAGTAATTCGACTTTGTGAGTCCACACTAACGGGGCAAGCGTCGACATTGGAAGCGGTGCACTGTGGGCAGCTATCCCACAGTTCCCGCAGTCCCCGCTGCCCATTGGAATTCTGGGTCAAGCCCCCAATGCCTTCTGGGGAAAAAAATGTGTCGAGGGTGGTTTTGGGTAACTGTCGTCATCCAACCGTCACTCCCGCCCTCCCTCCCTGAAAGCGCCGGCGGGAAATCAGTTTGTGCACTTTTCTGGTCAGTGACAGCGCGGACGCCACAGCACTGCGAGCATGGAGCCCGCTGCGACCATCGCTGCAGTTATGGCCGTTGTCAACACCTCGCACCTTATCATCCACCTTTCCCAGAGGCAGTTGCTGAGAAATCGGGCGAGGAGGCTACGGCAGCGCAGTGAGGACCTGAAGTCTGAGAGTGGCACAGACCTGTCACAAAGCACGGGACCCCGCGCCGAGGACATCATGGTGGCAATGGGTCATGTTGATGTTGTGGAACGGCGATTCTGGGCCCAGGAAACAAGCACGGACTGGTGGGACCGCATAGTGCTGCAGGTCTGGGATGAATCCCAGTGGCTGCGAAACTTTCGCATGCGGAAGGGGACTTTCCTTGAACTTTGTGAGTTGCTGTCCCCTGCCCTGAAGCGCAAGGACACCCAGATGCGAGCAGCCCTGACTGTCCAGAAGCGAGTGGCCATAGCCCTCTGGAAGCTTGCAACGCCAGACAGCTACCGGTCAGTCGCGAACCACTTTGGTGTGGGCAAATCTACCGTGGGGGTTGTTGTGATGCAAGTAGCCAACGCAATCATAGACTCATAGACTTTAAGGTCAGAAGGGACCAATATGGTCATCTAGTCTGACCTCCCGCATGATGCAGGCCACAAAAGCTGACCCCCCCACTTTCCCTTAACTCTGCTGTTGAAGTCTCCAGATCTTGATCTAAAGACTTCAAGTTGCAGAGAATCTTCCAGCTTGCGACCCCTGCCCTATGCTGCGGAGGAAGGCGAAAAACCTCCAGGGCCACTGCCAATCTACCCTGGAGGAAAATTCCTTCCCGACCCCAAATATGGCGATCAGCAGAACCCCGAGCATACAGGCAAGATTCTCTAGCCAGACCCTCATTTTACCAGCGATGGCCGTTATTGCCTAATTGACTAAAATCACGTTATCCCCTCAAACCATTCCCTCCATAAACTTATCTAGCCTAATCTTGAAGCCAGAGAGGTCTTTCGCCCCCACCGTTTCCCTCGGAAGGCTGTTCCAAAATTTCACCCCTCTAACGGTTAGAAACCTTCGTCTAATTTCAAGCCTAAATTTCCCCACGGCCAGTTTATATCCATTCGTTCTCGTGTCCACATTAGTACTGAGCTGAAATAATTCCTCTCCCTCCCTGGTATTTATCCCTTTGATATATTTAAAGAGAGCAATCATGTCCCCCCTCAGCCTTCTTTTGGTTAGGCTAAACAAATCAAGCTCCTCGAGTCTCCTTTCATAGGAAAGGTTTTCCATTCCTCGGATCATCCTAGTGGCCCTTCTCTGTACCCGTTCCAGTTTGAGTTCATCCCTTTTAAACATAGGAGACCAGAACTGCACACAGTACTCCAAGTGAGGTCTCACCAGCGCCTTGTATAACGGAAGCAGCACCTCCCTGTCCCTACTAGAAATACCTCGCCTTATGCATCCCAAGATCGCATTAGCTTTTTTCACAGCCACGTCGCATTGCCGACTCATAGTCATCCTGCGATCAACCAGGACTCCGAGGTCCTTCTCCTCCTCCGTCACTTCTAACCTATGCGTCCCTAGCTTATAACTGAAATTCTTGTTAGTCATCCCTAAATGCATCACCTTACACTTCTCACTATTAAATCTCATCCTATTATTATTACTCCAATTAACAAGGTCATCCAAGTCTCCCTGCAGAATATCCCGATCCTTCTCCGAGTTGGCAATACCTCCCAACTTTGTGTCATCCGCAAACTTTATCAGCCCACTTCTACATTCGGTTCCTAGGTCAGTAATGAATAGATTAAATAAAATCGGACCCAAAACCGAACCTTGAGGAACCCCACTGGTGACTGCCCTCCAATCTGACAGTTCACCTTTCAGTACTACCCGCTGCAGTCTCCCCTTTAACCAGTTCCTTATCCACCTCTGGATTTTCCTATCGATCCCCATCTTTTCCAATTTAACCAATAATTCCTCATGCGGTATCGTATCAAACGCTTTACTAAAATCGAGGTATATTAGATCCACCGCATTTCCTTTATCTAGAAGGTCTGTTACTTTCTCAAAGAAGGAGATCAGGTTGGTTGGGCACGACCTGCCTTTCGTAAACCCATGTTGTAATTTGTCCCAATTGCCATTCACCTCAAGGTCCTTAACTACTTTCTCCTTCAAAATTTTTTCCAAGACCTTGCATACTACAGAAGTTAAACTAACAGGCCTGTAGTTACCCGGGTCACTTTTTTTCCCCTTCTTGAAAATAGGGACCACATTAGCAATCGTTGAGCTACTGCTCTCAAAGGTAGTGACCCTGGGAAACGTGGAGGTCATCATAGATGGCTTCGCCGCGATGGGATTCCCAAACTGTGGTGGGGCTATAGATGGAACTCACATCCCTATCCTGGGACCGGACCACCAGGCCAGCCAGTACATTAACCGAAAGGGCTATTTTTCAATGGTGCTGCAAGCACTGGTGGACCATAGGGGATGTTTTACAAACATCAACGTCGGATGGCCGGGCAAGGTTCATGACGCTCGTGTTTTTCAGGAACTCTGGTCTGTTTAGACGGCTGCAGGAAGGTATTTACTTCCCGGACCACAAAATAACTCTTGGGGATGTGGAGATGCCTATAGTGAACCTCGGGGACCCAGCCTACCCGCTAATGCCCTGGCTCATGAAGCCCTATACAGGCGCCCTGGACAGTGAAAAAGAACTCTTCAACTACCGGCTGAGCAAGTGCAGAATGGTGGTGGAGTGTGCTTTTGGCCGTCTCAAGGGGAGATGGAGAAGCTTACTGACTCGCTCTGATCTCAGCGAAACCAATATCCCCATTGTTATTGCAGCTTGCTGTGTGCTCCACAATCTCTGTGAGAGCAAGGGGGA